TTGGGAATTAGATAGAGATCAGAGGGTCTGTCATTGCTTGGTTGGGGATTAGATAGGGATCAGTAGGTCTGTCGTTGCTTGGTTGGGGATTAGATAGAGATCAGAGGGTCTGTCATCGCTTGGTTGAGGATTAGATAGAGATCAGAGGGTCTGTCATTGTTTGGTCGGGGATTAGATGGAGATGAGTCTGATGGTCTGTCATTGCTTAGTTGGGGATTAGATTGAGATGAGTCTCAGGGTCTGTCATTGCTTGGTTGGAGATAAAATAGAGATTAGAGGGTCTGTCATTGCTTGGTTTGGGATTAGATTGAGATGAGTCTCAGGGATTTTGGCATTGCTTGGTTGGGGATTAGATAGAGATGAGTCTCAGGGTCTGTCATTGCTTGGTTGGGGATTAGATTGAGATGAGTCTCAGGGTCTGTCATTGCTTGGTTGGGGATTAGATTGAGATGAGTCTCAGGGTGTGTCATTGCTTGGTTGGTGATTAGATTGAGATGAGTCTCAGGGCCTGTCATTGCTTGGTTTGGGATTAGATTGAGATGAGTTTCAGGGTCTGTCATTGCTTGGTTGGGGATTAGATTGAGATGAGTCTCAGGGTCTGTCATTGCTTGGTTGGGGATTAGATTGAGATGAGTCTGAGGGTCTGTCATTTCCAAACTCACTGATTTGTTGTGAAAACATTATAATTTATTGAAATACTCATATATCACTTATACATGCAAACACTGATAAACATGAAGAAATTAAACGTCCAAAATCTGTAAAGTCTAAGTTCAGCCATTATTTTTAATTATAACTTGTCAGTAAGTCTATAAATAGTTCATTAATATGTCTAAAAAATTCAAAAGTATTACTATTGGTGTTTGGAATACAAAGCTGTCAAACCTTCCTCAATTTGACCAAATTTTATCAATCTCCCTCAAAACTCCCTCATTCAAGTCAAACATTCAGACAAACTCAAAATCTACATCCTGTTATCAAATGATCTCCTAGTTACTGCAGGGGGTGTGTAATGGTCATTACAGGTGTGTCTTTGTGTTTTTTGGAGTTATTTTGATACAAAGAAAGGGAAAGAATAAAATTAAGCAAAGCAGTTTCAGTTGTGTTTCACACACTTTCTCCTTCATTGAAATGTGGAATGAGGGAGATCGCCCTTATTGGAGGTTTCAGAGTTCAGACCCGTGGAGATATTTTAAACTCTGTTGAATGGAGACCTCACACCGTACAAGCCCTATTTCTATACGATTCTGTTGTAGATATTTGATATTTTGTTGAATGGAGACCTCACACCGTACACGCCCTATTTCTATATGATTCTGTTGTAGATATTTGATATTCTGTTGAATGGAGACCTCACACCGTACAAGCCCTATTTCTATACGATTCTGTTGTAGATATTTGATATTTTGTTGAATGGAGACCTCACACCGTACACGCCCTATTTCTATATGATTCTGTTGTAGATATTTGATATTCTGTTGAATGGAGCCCTCACACTGTACAAGCCCTATTTCTATATGATTCTGTTGCAGATATTTGATATTCTGTTGAATGGAGACCTTACACCGTACAAGCCCTATTTCTATATGATTCTGTTTATGTTGTAGATATTTGATATTCTGTTGCATGGAGACCTCACACTGTACAAGCCCTATTTCTATATGATTCTGTTGATGTTGTAGATATTTGATATTCTGTTGCATGGAGACCTCACACTGTACAAGCCCTATTTCTATTTGATTCTGTTGTAGATATTTGATATTCTGTTGAATGGAGACCTCACACCGTACAAGCCCTATTTCTATATGATTCTGTTGTAGATATTTGATATTCTGTTGAATGGAGACCTCACACCGTACAAGCCCTATTTCTATATGATTCTGTTGTAGATATTTGATATTCTGTTGAATGGAGACCTCACACCGTACAAGCCCTATTTCTATATGATTCTGTTGTAGATATTTGATATTCTGTTGAATGGAGACCTCACACCGTACAAGCCCTATTTCTATATGATTCTGTTGTAGATATTTGATATTCTGTTGAATGGAGACCTCACACCGTACAAGCCCTATTTCTATATGATTCTGTTGTAGATATTTGATATTCTGTTGAATGGAGACCTCACACCGTACAAGCCCTATTTCTATATGATTCTGTTGTAGATATTTGATATTCTGTTGAATGGAGACCTCACACCGTACAAGCCCTATTTCTATATGATTCTGTTGTAGATATTTGATATTCTGTTGAATGGAGACCTCACACCGTACAAGCCCTATTTCTATATGATTCTGTTGTAGATATTTGATATTCTGTTGAATGGAGACCTCACACCGTACAAGCCCTATTTCTATATGATTCTGTTGTAGATATTTGATATTCTGTTGAATGGAGACCTCACACCGTACAAGCCCTATTTCTATATGATTCTGTTGTAGATATTTGATATTCTGTTGAATGGAGACCTCACACCGTACAAGCCCTATTTCTATATGATTCTGTTGTAGATATTTGATATTCTGTTGAATGGAGACCTCACACCGTACAAGCCCTATTTCTATATGATTCTGTTGTAGATATTTGATATTCTGTTGAATGGAGACCTCACACCGTACAAGCCCTATTTCTATATGATTCTGTTGTAGATATTTGATATTCTGTTGAATGGAGACCTCACACCGTACAAGCCCTATTTCTATATGATTCTGTTGTAGATATTTGATATTCTGTTGAATGGAGACCTCACACCGTACAAGCCCTATTTCTATATGATTCTGTTGTAGATATTTGATATTCTGTTGAATGGAGACCTCACACCGTACAAGCCCTATTTCTATATGATTCTGTTGTAGATATTTGATATTCTGTTGAATGGAGACCTCACACCGTACAAGCCCTATTTCTATATGATTCTGTTGTAGATATTTGATATTCTGTTGAATGGAGACCTCACACCGTACAAGCCCTATTTCTATATGATTCTGTTGTAGATATTTGATATTCTGTTGAATGGAGACCTCACACCGTACAAGCCCTATTTCTATATGATTCTGTTGTAGATATTTGATATTCTGTTGAATGGAGACCTCACACCGTACAAGCCCTATTTCTATATGATTCTGTTGTAGATATTTGATATTCTGTTGAATGGAGACCTCACACCGTACAAGCCCTATTTCTATATGATTCTGTTGTAGATATTTGATATTCTGTTGAATGGAGACCTCACACCGTACAAGCCCTATTTCTATATGATTCTGTTGTAGATATTTGATATTCTGTTGAATGGAGACCTCACACCGTACAAGCCCTATTTCTATATGATTCTGTTGTAGATATTTGATATTCTGTTGAATGGAGACCTCACACCGTACAAGCCCTATTTCTATATGATTCTGTTGTAGATATTTGATATTCTGTTGAATGGAGACCTCACACCGTACAAGCCCTATTTCTATATGATTCTGTTGTAGATATTTGATATTCTGTTGAATGGAGACCTCACACCGTACAAGCCCTATTTCTATATGATTCTGTTGTAGATATTTGATATTCTGTTGAATGGAGACCTCACACCGTACAAGCCCTATTTCTATATGATTCTGTTGTAGATATTTGATATTCTGTTGAATGGAGACCTCACACCGTACAAGCCCTATTTCTATATGATTCTGTTGTAGATATTTGATATTCTGTTGAATGGAGACCTCACACCGTACAAGCCCTATTTCTATATGATTCTGTTGTAGATATTTGATATTCTGTTGAATGGAGACCTCACACCGTACAAGCCCTATTTCTATATGATTCTGTTGTAGATATTTGATATTCTGTTGAATGGAGACCTCACACCGTACAAGCCCTATTTCTATATGATTCTGTTGTAGATATTTGATATTCTGTTGAATGGAGACCTCACACCGTACAAGCCCTATTTCTATATGATTCTGTTGTAGATATTTGATATTCTGTTGAATGGAGACCTCACACCGTACAAGCCCTATTTCTATATGATTCTGTTGTAGATATTTGATATTCTGTTGAATGGAGACCTCACACCGTACAAGCCCTATTTCTATATGATTCTGTTGTAGATATTTGATATTCTGTTGAATGGAGACCTCACACCGTACAAGCCCTATTTCTATATGATTCTGTTGTAGATATTTGATATTCTGTTGAATGGAGACCTCACACCGTACAAGCCCTATTTCTATATGATTCTGTTGTAGATATTTGATATTCTGTTGAATGGAGACCTCACACCGTACAAGCCCTATTTCTATATGATTCTGTTGTAGATATTTGATATTCTGTTGAATGGAGACCTCACACCGTACAAGCCCTATTTCTATATGATTCTGTTGTAGATATTTGATATTCTGTTGAATGGAGACCTCACACCGTACAAGCCCTATTTCTATATGATTCTGTTGTAGATATTTGATATTCTGTTGAATGGAGACCTCACACCGTACAAGCCCTATTTCTATATGATTCTGTTGTAGATATTTGATATTCTGTTGAATGGAGACCTCACACCGTACAAGCCCTATTTCTATATGATTCTGTTGTAGATATTTGATATTCTGTTGAATGGAGACCTCACACCGTACAAGCCCTATTTCTATATGATTCTGTTGTAGATATTTGATATTCTGTTGAATGGAGACCTCACACCGTACAAGCCCTATTTCTATATGATTCTGTTGTAGATATTTGATATTCTGTTGAATGGAGACCTCACACCGTACAAGCCCTATTTCTATATGATTCTGTTGTAGATATTTGATATTCTGTTGAATGGAGACCTCACACCGTACAAGCCCTATTTCTATATGATTCTGTTGTAGATATTTGATATTCTGTTGAATGGAGACCTCACACCGTACAAGCCCTATTTCTATATGATTCTGTTGTAGATATTTGATATTCTGTTGAATGGAGACCTCACACCGTACAAGCCCTATTTCTATATGATTCTGTTGATGTTGTAGATATTTGATACTCTGTTGAATGGAGACCTCACACCGTACAAGCCCTATTTCTACAATGTGACAGAGACGACCAACTACTATAACTTCCTCCTCACTCAGGTATTACAGCACTTTTCTATCTGCACATGGCTATGCCACTTTCAAAATTTAGATGGCAAATATATCTATGATGAATGCCTTGGCCAATTGATGATGTTTACGGTTTGTCTTTTGGCTGTTCCAGGAATTACATAAACCTTCATGTGATCACCAAGGATAATTATGGGAAATTTGAATTAGGTTAGGAAGGAAAACTGATTACAGATCAATGCTTTATTAAGGCTTTGGGATTTATATTTGTCCATTTAATATTTTATGTTTGTGGCCTTTGTTTACTAACCCTGTATGCAGTATATAGATGTCGAGAGTATAATAACCCTATATCTCAGTGAAAACTTTATTTTACTACTGTTTACATATTGTATTGTATGTTTGTAGGAACCGCCAGAGTTTAATTTTTACGGAGATTACCTGGCTCAGCCTGAAGTACGTAGGGCCACCCATGTAGGTAACTTAACCTACAATGACGGAAGAGCTGTAGAGATGCATCTCATCAATGACGTAATGGACACGGTTAAACCGTGGATAGAAACTCTTCTGGACAACTACAAGGTTTGTTCTATTCCTGAGTTAACAATAAGTCAGGTGTAAGGAACCAGCGTCCACTAAGTGTAGAGGGTTCATTCTTGTTCTAGGTGTCAGGAGGTATACAGTGGTAAACAGAAGCCCTCTTACTGTTACTAAGAGAAGCAGCAAATGATTTCTGATTTCACAGCACTAACACAGTTATATGGAGACTGGACTCTAGGAATTGTTTCTCTTTATTATAATAATAAATAATCTGTTCATGTATGAATCTGACTGACTGTATCGTTACAACACCTGGTCTTATTCTCCTTGTACATTTTAAGGTCTCCATGTAATTCTTTCCTTCTGTTCATATTTTGTGTAAGTTTTATCTATTTTGAGTTTGAATTATGTTGACTCTGTAGTATTGTAATTTTCCTGTTATCTGTTATCTGGAGGTAATTAATTGAGTTTACTTTGATGTGATAATCTGTAATGGTCAGTTTTGTTAACTTGAAGGTGATGATCTATAATGGTCAGCTGGACATTATAATTGCTGTACCACTGACCGAAGCCTTCCTACTTAGTACGAAATGGTCTGGGCAGAACAACTATACAACGGTTGATCGCATGGTCTGGAAGCTCAATCCGTCGGATGTGGAGGTTGCCGGTTATGTCAGGACAGTGGGAAAATTTAACCAGGTAGGTAGATCAGTAAAAGGCAAGACAGTGAATTTTGTCCAGGTAGAGGGAAATGTGGTTAACCTCAGCCATTACTGTAGAAGGGAAGACAGTGAATTTTGTCCAGGTAGAGGGAAAGATGGTAAACCTCAGCAATTACTGTAGAAGGGGAGACAGGGAATTTTGTCCAGGTAGAGGGAAAGATGGTTAACCTCAGCCATTACTGTAGAAGGGAAGACAGTGACTTTTGTCCAGGTAGAGGGAAAGATAGTTAACCTCAACCATTACTGTAGAAGGGAAGACAGTGAATTTTGTCCAGGTAGAGGGAAAGATGGTTAACCTCAGCCATTACTGTAGAAGGGAAGACAGTGAATTTTGTCCAGGTAGAGGGAAAGATGGTTAACCTCAGCCATTACTGTAGAAGGGAAGACAGTGAATTTTGTCCAGGTAGAGGGAAAGATGGTTAACCTCAGCCATTACTGTAGAAGGGAAGACAGTGAATTTTGTCCAGGTAGAGGGAAAGATGGTTAACCTCAGCCATTACTGTAGAAGGGAAGACAGTGAATTTTGTCCAGGTAGAGGGAAAGATGGTTAACCTCAGCCATTACTGTAGAAGGGAAGACAGTGAATTTTGTCCAGGTAGAGGGAAAGATGGTTAACCTCAGCCATTACTGTAGAAGGGAAGACAGTGAATTTTGTCCAGGTAGAGGGAAAGATGGTTAACCTCAGCCATTACTGTAGAAGGGAAGACAGTGAATTTTGTCCAGGTAGAGGGAAAGATGGTTAACCTCAGCCATTACTGTAGAAGGGAAGACAGTGAATTTTGTCCAGGTAGAGGGAAAGATGGTTAACCTCAGCCATTACTGTAGAAGGGAAGACAGTGAATTTTGTCCAGGTAGAGGGAAAGATGGTTAACCTCAGCCATTACTGTAGAAGGGAAGACAGTGAATTTTGTCCAGGTAGAGGGAAAGATGGTTAACCTCAGCCATTACTGTAGAAGGGAAGACAGTGAATTTTGTCCAGGTAGAGGGAAAGATGGTTAACCTCAGCCATTACTGTAGAAGGGAAGACAGTGAATTTTGTCCAGGTAGAGGGAAAGATGGTTAACCTCAGCCATTACTGTAGAAGGGAAGACAGTGAATTTTGTCCAGGTAGAGGGAAAGATGGTTAACCTCAGCCATTACTGTAGAAGGGAAGACAGTGAATTTTGTCCAGGTAGAGGGAAAGATGGTTAACCTCAGCCATTACTGTAGAAGGGAAGACAGTGAATTTTGTCCAGGTAGAGGGAAAGATGGTTAACCTCAGCCATTACTGTAGAAGGGAAGACAGTGAATTTTGTCCAGGTAGAGGGAAAGATGGTTAACCTCAGCCATTACTGTAGAAGGGAAGACAGTGAATTTTGTCCAGGTAGAGGGAAAGATGGTTAACCTCAGCCATTACTGTAGAAGGGAAGACAGTGAATTTTGTCCAGGTAGAGGGAAAGATGGTTAACCTCAGCCATTACTGTAGAAGGGAAGACAGTGAATTTTGTCCAGGTAGAGGGAAAGATGGTTAACCTCAGCCATTACTGTAGAAGGGAAGACAGTGAATTTTGTCCAGGTAGAGGGAAAGATGGTTAACCTCAGCCATTACTGTAGAAGGGAAGACAGTGAATTTTGTCCAGGTAGAGGGAAAGATGGTTAACCTCAGCCATTACTGTAGAAGGGAAGACAGTGAATTTTGTCCAGGTAGAGGGAAAGATGGTTAACCTCAGCCATTACTGTAGAAGGGAAGACAGTGAATTTTGTCCAGGTAGAGGGAAAGATGGTTAACCTCAGCCATTACTGTAGAAGGGAAGACAGTGAATTTTGTCCAGGTAGAGGGAAAGATGGTTAACCTCAGCCATTACTGTAGAAGGGAAGACAGTGAATTTTGTCCAGGTAGAGGGAAAGATGGTTAACCTCAGCCATTACTGTAGAAGGGAAGACAGTGAATTTTGTCCAGGTAGAGGGAAAGATGGTTAACCTCAGCCATTACTGTAGAAGGGAAGACAGTGAATTTTGTCCAGGTAGAGGGAAAGATGGTTAACCTCAGCCATTACTGTAGAAGGGAAGACAGTGAATTTTGTCCAGGTAGAGGGAAAGATGGTTAACCTCAGCCATTACTGTAGAAGGGAAGACAGTGAATTTTGTCCAGGTAGAGGGAAAGATGGTTAACCTCAGCCATTACTGTAGAAGGGAAGACAGTGAATTTTGTCCAGGTAGAGGGAAAGATGGTTAACCTCAGCCATTACTGTAGAAGGGAAGACAGTGAATTTTGTCCAGGTAGAGGGAAAGATGGTTAACCTCGGCCATTACTGTAGAAGGGAAGAGAGTGAATTTTGTCCAGGTAGAGGGAAAGATGGTTATTCTCAGCCATTACTGTAGAAGGA